GCTATCCAAAAGGTTTGGAAGTAATCAGAGGATAAGCGAGATAGAGCAGAAGAATGGAGAAAGTTGCATGCAGAGGCTAAGAGGAGGAAAGAGGAAGCTGAAAGTTCTTCAAGGTAAAACAGTATTCTGGATAGTGAAAAAAACAAAAAATTGAATGCATGATGTTTGTTGTTTTTTTGATTAAGCAGCAGGAGTTGCAAAAAAATTACACGTGCTGAACTTATGGACAAATACTATGAGTATGTCGAAAGAGAGGAATCGTACGAACTGAGAACAGGAAAGGTGAAAAGCTGTCTATCATGGGAAAAGTACTTTGAAATAGCCAGAGAGGAGGGATGGCTTGTTGACATATCAGACGATGAGCCTGAACAGAATTCCACTGATGAAGCAATGGAATCAGCGGGCGATGTGTTGGACAGGCAAGGGCTTTTAGGTTACATATATACATTTGAATATTTGACTTTGCAAATTAGTAGTTTAAATAATCGTGTTTGTTAATGCAGCGAGGAGAACAACACTACTGATGCTGCTGATGTTGTACAACCTCCTGCCATGCAAGAGAAACTTGTTTGCAGATGGAAAAAAGTTGTTAAGAGCAGCAGCCAGATAAAAAATCAAGTTCTTGTAAGCTTTTGATCTGTTTGCTGTTACAGTTTGTAAGGATGCATAACATTGAATGAATAGACATAGCTAATAAAGTTTTAATGTTGCAGCACTTTCCAGCAGCAGTCATCAAGTAAATCTTCATGGAACCAAGATCATATATTGATCTTCATGACACAGACTCGGGTATTACGTACCAATGTGTTTTCAAATCCAGGGAGAACATGACCGAGAAGTTTCTGTCAAGGGGCTGGTTAAAATTTGCAAAGGAGAAAGAGCTGTCAAAAGGTGACGTTCTCTTATTCAGTGTAGAGCATCCTCCTGTGGAACGTATATTGGTCAAAGTCGAGAGAGGGCAGCATTGAAAGGAGTTGTTGATTGGATTACATGGGAAGCATCATGGCAAAAAGGAGGGATTATTTTTGTATGGGCGGAAATGCATAACTATTTGTTTTGAAAATCTATTTGATGCCCATTTGTCTTTGTTATTAGTTTTGTTATATGATATTGTTGGGCTACAGCTCAATGTACAATCTGCTAATGATATGTTAAATGGGATGATACGAAATTAGTTCCATATCTTGCGTTGATGAGATAATTGCATATCGTTTCCGGTATTATCCGGTAACAATTTATATTAATCAAGTGTCATGGATTTCTGCTATGCATAATCTGTTATTCATGTATCAGTTTTATAGATTAATGTACAGTATGCTGATATACTACCGTGTATTATGCATAAAGTATGCAAAACAATATGGATTGTCCAGCATCAAGACATAAATAGAAACATTTTTGTCCATAATAAGTTTATTATATTAAACAAAATAAGGAATTACCAACATCATATTGCTTTTTGTAGTGTAAATTATGCATAGTTTTTTGCAGCTTAAATGACTAAAATCATATCATTCTTTCATATACAATGTCAAAAGAATCAAACAAAAAGCAAGAATGACAAATCAAATCCTCATAAACCAGAATAAACAAAATGTAAACCAGAAATATTTCATTACATCAATCAAAATTAGGTGTGCAATGTTGTCCAAAACAGCTTAAAGTAAAAATAAATCGTCGACGATAATTGACTGCATCATTTCTCCAGCTTGATGTCCCTTATTATCTTAGTGGACGATAGTTGGGCACTGTCGAGTTCTTCAACTGTCTCAGGAATAGATCTTTTTGACGGTGTAAGTGCAGAGTTGGCAACTGAAGGGTCATAATCTGCAGTGATTGATAACGGATCCTGCCATTAAAGAGTCATTACAAAATCAGTAGCATAAAAAAGGAAGTAAGACATTGTTTAATAGGCTAATTTGTTAATGTTGAAAGCTAAAAAAAGACGCACTGAAACTGTTTGTGGATCAGCATGAGACTGTTTTTCCGAGGTGCTGATGGTCGGAGTACACTGCAAGTTAAAAAACGTAAGAAATAAACGTTAGACAATTGTTCAAAATGTGATGGCAAGAGTAATAGGTCATTCCTATTTAAAACATACCGATGCTGTATGCATATCATCCCGAGTGTCATCTGTTGAGACGACAATCTTTGAAGTGTGCTGCAAGTTTTAAACAATTGTTAAAAAAATCCAATGCACATGATACTGATTTTAACAACAGTAAAACATGAGTACAACAGTACCTCTTCACATTTAAACCTCTCCTTTATTTTGGTACGTAGCACTTCATCTGCCTTAAATCCGATTACAGAAAGACTGGCCTTGTTTGGTTGAAACACTGCTCTTATAGCCAACTCCTTCTTCAGCATCACATCAAGTTCATAAGGGAATTCAAGGGGATCAAAATCTCCAGTCTAAATGATTAAAACAATATATGTTATTTATGTGGTAATTATCTAACTTACATATTAACCAAATGGAAAATACCTCCATCAAATCCAACTTCATCTGAAGGGCGGACTTCCCAATCAACTTTACACAATCTACATCCCAAAATACGAACTTGTATTTTAACTTTCCATCGGAGGCAAGCACTTCAAGCTTAAACCTGTACCATGCATGATCAAAATAAGAAATTGTCAGTAATGAAGCGTTTGGTTATATGATGATAATCATTGATATGCAATACTTATAAGTTACCTTGGGACTGGCTCAGAACTGATGTGTTTGGAATAACACATGAATTTTCCATCCTTCAAAGTCACACTTTTGGTACATTCACTACATCCATCATAATACCATCCTGACTGCCCACATTCAAACTTCTCCAGAGTCGCAACAGTCACACATGTAGTTTCCTGAAACAGAAAGATGGGATGATGTCTCAAAAAATGGATTAGAACCCAGTCTGTGTAATTCCTCAATCTAAGACAGTCATGTATTAAAGAGCAACTTACTGTCTGCAGATATGCAATATCAGACAGACTCAACACTTCAGCTTTCCATACAAATTTGTCCAAATCAGAAAAAACAGAGGTATTTGTGGTTTCCATTTGCATGCTCGAGGATGAGAGCGTCGGCAGATCATCTTTAAGTATGATGATCATAGATCAGAATGAAAACAGGCTGTTAGAAATCATAGGTTGCTAATTCATAACTTCATAATAAAATCACTTACTTCTCTTTAAGGTTTTTAACCTCCTCAATAGATAAATCATTGATGAGCAGTTTTGTGCCGTTCCAAGCATTTGATACATTTAAAGGATAATTTCCTGAAAATTGAGATATTTATAACTGACAACACTTAAAGTTGGATATAATAATTGGATATAATAAGAAATAGTCACATAGCATACCTTGAGGTTCCTTGATCCTTGCATTCATAAGTAGGAGAACAATACTACCATCAGCCTTATGAGTCGTATAATACTCATTCAGTTGCACAGCTAATTTACCCCAAAGAGTACATTGCACATGATGTTTGCTGATTGACAGGAATTACAAAACAAACAACATGAACATGTTAGACTTTTATATTTATCAGCATCAATGTTAACAAACAAAATGAAACACCTACCTCAGATCAGTTAATGAAAACACAACCTTGTTTTTGTTGTTATCAGGAATTATCTGGGCTTGGGATATTTCAGTAACCCCACCAATTATATCTGCACAAAAGTTCACCACAGACAGTTATGGATAACGGAGAAGTCACAATACAATGCGTTCTATTATAACAGTAAAAATGTAACTCACCATATAACAAATTCGTTATGTATTTACCCTCAATAATAACATTTATTCCAATTAACTTGAGGTGGTTCAAAGGTATGTCAGCAAGTTGGACCTTTTTGACGGAAGTTGAACCACAGAAAATCAATTTGAACTTATGATCAGTGGATTTGAAGGAGAAATCATTGCTGGAAACTTTGAAATTCTGCATTATGTAGGAACAACCAAGTTCAAGCTGTGTTTTGAATTTTGATACCAAATAAGATGGCACAATGGCTTGAATCAAATCCAACTGTGAAAATACAAACATCTTGAAATCAGTATCATATACCAGTACTGTTACAACAAAATCAGAATGGCAAAGCATAAACGTTTAGATTGTATTATACCTTTGAATCAAACAGAATAAGCTCTAAGTGCTCTCTATTCTGAGAACTGGTAACAGACCACAAATGCTTACATCTAACAGCAACCTTCCACAAATCCTTCGAATCGTCAATGCTACTGATATACTCGATTGGGCGCGCCATCCTCACGTAGCAATTCGTAACAGCGCAGAGACATGAAGGTGTTAAGCAATGGAAAACGACTGGAACGTCTGTAGCAATGAAGAAAGAGTGAAACACTTTTGGGGTTCCATTTGAATTTGAATTCTGATTAAGAGAGACATAATGGTTTGGCATGGGGAAGAGGAAGAAAGGCACAATGAATGGCAAGGAATAATGGTTTGGCATGGGGAAGAGGAAGAGAGGCATAATAGTTTGGCATGGATTTATTTGAAAAACAAAAATTGAAAATGTGGTGAAAAATTGTGGGAGTGCCACATCAGATTCAAATGAATGTGGTGCAAGATATTTTGGAGTTTCCAATTTTACCCCAATACAATAGACCAAGAATGGATTTTATCAGCTGTGGTGTTGTGGTAATTTCCAGGAACTATGATTTTTATAGATAGATAATAAATTAATCACCATCATAAATTCTATTAGATTAGACTGTAAATTTTAAATACATAGCTGAATAATCTATACTAAACTCTATTAATATAAATATTTTTTCAATATTTTCTCCTCAACAAACTTTTTTTAAGGTAGACCGTGCGATACCACGTGCTAGTGACTAGTAAGTACTCCATATAAACATAGTTGGTTCATAAATTTCCGTTAGGTATAGTGTTATATTGCCTTTCATACTTTCTCTCAACATTGCTTAAACCCTTGCGCCGTTTGAGCTACTAGGGTTTGGCATTTGATTTTCGTTTTCCACCATGGAAGGAATCGAGATGGAAGAATCACCCTCCAACATCAACGAAACCAATGCCGATTTATGCAATTTCATCCTCTCTCGTTACGGAAAATCCACCTCCGAAAGCCACCAACATCTCTGCGCCGTCATCGGCGCCATGTCACAGGAACTCAAAGACCACAACCTACCTTCATCACCGGTTGCTTACTTCGGTGCCACGTGTTCTTCCTTGGACCGTATCGCATCGGAACCTAACCCTGCTAATCACCTCGTCGACGCACTCCTCACCATTCTATCTCTTGTGATCGTTAGATTGCATCCAGCTGTGTTGGAGAAGAAGAGGGAGTTTCTGTCCGAGCTGGTTGTGAAAGTTGCACAGTCTCCGTCTAGTTCCGAAACTGCGGTTATTCATGGATTGAAGTGCCTTTCGCATTTGTTGATCAATAGACACAGTGTTCATTGGGCTGATGTGTCTCCGTTGTTCAATGTCTTGTTAGGGTTTATTACAGATTCACGATTTAAGGTAATAACTTGTGAATTCTTAACCTTAGTTCTCTCTGGTTTACTTATGAACCAATGCAAAATTGGTGATTAATTTGATGCATAATATATGATATTTTTTATATTGATGTCTGACTTTTTATAAAACTATCAAACGTAGTTGATCATAAACTGTAATAAACTGAGTGTAGGTGAGTGTAGGTTTAGATAGGTGGGAGTGGAATGACATGTTTAGATGTTTTAATTTGCAAGCTTGTGTACTGTGGACCATGGGGCAATGGGCTTTAGTTGGGTTAGATGAATTTTGATTGGTTTTCTACTAGGTTGCAGAATGCTTACTTAGTTAGGGTAAATGCTTGAATGCTGTGTGCTGACTAGATATTCCAACAGGTAAGAGAGCAATCTCATTTGTTTCTCCGTGATGTCTTGATAAGCTTTCAAAAGTCTTCGCTACTAGCATCTGCTAGTGAAGGTGTCCAAAACATACTCGACAGGTTTCTACTACTTGCTGGGGGAGTAAATGCAAATGCAAATGATGCAAATACTAATGCCGGTAAAGAAACCATCGGAGCCCAACAGGTTTTGTACATTCTGGATGCCTTGAAAGAATGCTTTCCTTTGCTGTCGCTAACATGCAAAACCAGCATCCTCAAGCACTTCAAAAGTCTCTTGGTTTTGCGTCAACCCCTAGTCACAAAGCGCATAACAAATTGTTTGAATTTTCTCTTTCTAAACCCGGAATCAGAAGTTTCTCCTGAAGCACTACTTGAGGTGTTATGCTCATTATCCACTCTTTCTACCTCATCGAATGTGATGTCTGGAGATGGAATAACATTTAATGCCCGCTTGCTTGATGCCGGAATGAAGAAAGTCTTTTCTCTAAACAGGCAAATGTGTGTGATTAAGCTTCCCAGTGTCTTTAATGATCTCAAAGGTATCATGAATTTCAATTGTTTGTTTATATTTACCTGTTTTTATTTTGCAATTATGAAAGTTTGTTTTTATTTCTAAATGCACAGATATTTTGGCATCTGAACATGAAGAGGCCATATTCGCTGCCGCAAATGCACTCAAGAGCATGATCAATTATTGCATTGATGAGACATTGATTAAACAAGGTGTGGATCAGATAATTTTGGATGAATCAAGGAGGTCAGGACCAACCATTATTGAGAGAATTTGTGCAATTGTTGAGAGCTTACTTGATTATCACTATGCTGCTGCCTGGGATAGAATATTTGATGTTGTTTCAGCCATGTTTCACAAATTAGGTATTTTGATTGCTGTCAAGTCTTGTTTTTGTTTCTTGCATTGGCTTATAATATACATAATTTGTTGGTTGGTAATTTGTTAGTACAGTTTATTATCGTTGGGCTAACAATCTGTACAACAGTTGTTATACTTCTCTGATTTTTTTGTTAGATTTTTTCTTGCAATGTCTTCTAATTTCATTCTTCGATTAATAGCAGCGTAAAATTCCTGTTACTTATTTTTGAGATTATTGTAATAATCAATGTAGGAAGTAACTCTCTTTACTTCATGAGAGGTATTCTCAAAAACTTGGAAGATATGCAGAAGCTGCCTGATGAGGATTTTCCCTTTAAGAAACAGGTTTACCTATCCTTTCATTCTACGTTGCTTCTCAATTCTTTTGCGCTATACTACCCAAATATGAAACTCAAAATCTTATAAAATCCGCTTTCATATGTTTTTTTTTCCAGCACGCCATATGTCTCAACTTTGAATATATGGTGTCTGACCCTTAAGAGTTGGATACCATTGGAATTATTATATTTTAATATGATATTGATATTGATTATTTCAAAAGCAAATTGGCGTTTTGTAGCAACCCTGTTATTTATTCTGTGACACATCTTGGTTTAACACATCGTATGAATTAAAATATGCACTCAATGATGTTGATGATGTATGTATGTGTATTATATTATTATTATTATTATTATTATTTGTATGATTAAATAATAATGAACTGTTTGAATTTCTATAATTAATGCATTTTAAGTGTTTTCATGTTTGTTTTTTTAGGCCAATAACTTAATTAAGTTGATTTGTGTTTAGAGGATCTGGGAATTTGTCTGATCTTCTAGTTGTTTTATGCATAACAAATTACTGATACGAAGTACTGGTGCACTCTGTATTGTGCAGCTTCATGCATGCCTTGGATCAGCTCTTGTTGTAATGGGACCTGAAACTTTGTTATCCCTTATACCATTGAATTTGGAAGCTGAAGATTTATCTGTTTCAAATATATGGCTTCTTCCAATTCTAAAACAGTATATTGTTGGTGCGAGTCTAAAATATTTTACAGAGGAGATTTTTCCTATGATTGAACGTACAAGGGAGAAGGCTCAAAAGGTATTGTACATTTTATTTTGTGATGCAGTGTTATTTTTCTCCAAGGTATTCATTTCCTATCCTGCACATTCTGCAGCTTGAGAAGCAGGGACTGATGGTGTCATCAAGGAATGCTGACGCAATTACTTACTCTTTGTGGTCTTTGCTGCCTTCGTTTTGCAACTATCCTTCGGACACAGCTAAAAGTTTCAAAGTTCTAGAGAAACATTTACGTATTAAAGTAAAAGAAGAACCTGATATTCGTGGAATAATATGCACTAGTTTGCAGCTTCTGATTAGACAAAACAAGAATATTAAGGACTCAGATGATAAGGACATTATTGAGCAAGATATGACCGAAGAACATATTTTGTTTAAGTACTCGCAACAGGTTGCAACAGAAAATTTGAAGGCACTGGAGATATCTGCAAAGAACTTGTTGAAAGATCTCTCAGAAGTGTTTCTGAAATCTACAAAAGATGATGGTGGTTGTTTGCAGGTACTATTTCTTCAATATTCTTAGTTGAGCCAAATGTTAGCACTGCGTCCCTTGTATGTGCATGCATGTTGGCATAACATAAAAGTAAGTATATGACAATACACACTTTCTCCCTCTCTTTCTCTAAAGAAATGTCCATCGTCTTTAGTTTAAGAAATTGAATAGTGAATAGTGATTATGTGGGCTTGTTTGCTCTTTAGTTATCCATGACTAGACATCTATAACGAAAAGCTCTAGAATTGTTCTATTAGGTCTTCAAATGTGAATATAGAAATATGTTATATATTTGCATACCAAGAAACCCACAGCTGACAGATATTCCTTAGACTCAAATATTTTTGGAAATATTAAAAATGGTAACCATTTTCCGGTTTTAATTCCCTGAATTGAAAAGATTGCTGCATAGTTTTCATGAAAAGATGAAGTGCTCTGTTTTTGTGTTTCTTAATTACTTGACAGCTGGAAATTAAACCTGTCGTTATTGTTGTTATGTTTAATCTGTACAAGAAGTTTATTATGATGGGTTTGCTTCATTTACAGGGAACCATTGGTGATATTGCTTCTATAGCAGAAAAAAAAGTCGTACAAAACTTATTTAAGAAGAAAATGTCAGACCTTTTAATATGCACTCAAAAGGCCAACATAGTAGAAGATTCAGAAAGTTCTATGCAGATTGACAATGCATCAAATGACGTGTCTCAATCAGTTCTCAGGTGTTGATTATTTTCTATTTCTCTGAATTGTGTCTAATTGATTTTCTCGTGAAGTTGAAAATTTGCTTTTGTCTAATCTGCATTTTACTTGAATTATCTTATTTATTTGTTGAGTATTACTGGGTCAATATTAAATATTATTTCATTGAATTTCTTTTCATCCCAGGGCACGGCTTCTTGATTTCGCAGTTTCGTTGTTGCCTGGATTAGATGCGAAAGATATTGATTTACTATTTGAAGTATTAAAGCCAGCATTGCAGGTTTGTCTGAGATATATAGTGCTCTTTGCAAGAAATTTCTGAAACTTTTTTAGATAGTTAAGAAGATCGTTATTGTTATTACTATTTGCAGGATGTTGGTGTCATGCAGAAGAAGGCATACAAAGTTCTTTCGATCATTCTCAGGGTATATGTCTACTTCATATTATTTGATTTTCTGATTAACATAGATAGAAGTTTGGAAATATTTATCCCAAAAAAATATTCATGTTAGAACTTTTGGCTAAAATGTTCAGTCAAGGGTGTTGACTGTTGTCATGGGTATGCTTCTTGTATTGGTTTTTATTTATTAATTTATCCTTCTGATGTCAAGCTGTTAAACTGATCATCAAAGTTGTTGATGTGCAATATTTTCTTGGATTATTCTTGACAGAGCTCGGATAGTTTTGTTTCATCAAAGCTTGAGGATCTGCTTGAGCTCATGGTTGAAATTCGTCCTTGTCATCCCTCTGCCAAACGCCATAGACTTGATTGCATTTACTTCTTGATTGTCCATGTCTTGAAGTCAGAGGCAGTCAAAGTTCAGCTCCATGACTTCTTAACAGTACATGACTCGAAGTCAAAGGTATCCAAAGTTGGATATTTCTTCTATATTTATCACCATAGTTTTGTTGCAGTATATCTGATATGTTTTAAAGTATGTTGTCATATTATAGTATAACATAAGGAATCTGAACTTATGTACTTCCGACAGGATGATTCGATGATCGGCCTAGATGTTTTCCTCACCGAGATTATACTGGCTCTTAAAGAGGTAATGTAGTAATAATTGTGGATTCTTAGTTATGCAGTATTAGTTGTCCCTTTCTCATGTACATTTCTATCAATATATGAATCAATATATTTCTTTGGCCTCTACTCGGTTTTTCCTGGCTCCGGTACATTTCTTGTGTATCCAGTGTTCACACATTTCTTAGATGTGGGGGTGGGCGCTATGTTGTGAGGCTTCATGATCCTAACTGGAGCTCTCTGATGTGTTCTCATTCATAGTTGTATAGTAGTGCTGAGCTGTTGCACATACAATAGCGTACTGTATGGCAATCAGGCAACATTGTTTTCACACATTATGAACTTGCTGGTGTTGAGGTTTGTCTTGCTGCCATAAGTAAGATAACAATTCAGTTGCATGCCACTGGCAATATCCACAATGACCAGCAAGCTGGTTATATCTACATATCTAGCTGACCCATATTCTTCTGAGATTCCAGCAAGAACATATCACTTTTGAAAAAAAATGCACTGCTTTCACTAAATTTAGGCCTGTATTAAGTTTTTAATAGGATGGAATGACCATTATTGTTTTTTGTGTTTTTAATTATTGTATGGGTATAATGTTCAGTAAGGAATCAAAAGATGTTTGTCGCCGACATTACTCTTGCCCATCAGTTGCTTATAAATTATCTTTACAAGCTTCCTGAGGTGCTAAATTTGGAGGTTATCTTTACAGGCCAATAAAAAAACCAGGAACAGGGCTTATGACATTCTGGTTGAAATTGCCCATGCATTTGGAGACGAGGAGAGAGGGGGGAGCAGAAATTATCTATATCAATTTTTTATCAAGGTAAATCCACAGTTTAATTGTCCTTGCTGTTTACATCTTTTTTATATGGTTCAACTCAATAGCTTGTATTCTTAATGGTAGAAAAATGTCAAATTTATGCATTGCCATACTGACAGTAATTTGACTGTGTTGTTTTGTGAGCTAAGGTTGCTCACGGCCTTGTTGGGAAAAGTGATCATATGATAAGTGCAACGGTCAAAGGGTTAGCTCGCTTGGCCTATGAGTTCTCTGATCTTGTTTTAAATGCTTTTGATTTGCTTCCATCCATATTTGTCCTGCTCGAAAAAAAGAAAAAAGAGATAACTAAGGTTTGTTTCATTTTCCGTTTTGTTGGTTAAATGCATTTCTGACTGAAGTAACATTTCCTTGAGCCATTAATTATATGTCTGTCTTCATGATGTAGGCCAATCTAGGTTTGTTAAAGGTTTTAGTAGCCAAATCACAAGCAGAAGGATTGCATATGCATCTGAGGAGTGTGGTTGAGTCTTTGTTTAAGTGGCAAGATGTCGCCAAAAATCATTTCCAAGCAAAGGTTTTGTTTTTATTATCTTATGTAGTAATTTTTTATCAAGAAAAATAATCAATGATTTCATTGGGGTATTGAGATTCAAATTCTTTTCAGGTCAAACTTCTTTTGGGAATGCTTGTCACGAAGTGTGGATTGGAGGCCGTTAAAGCTGTCCTGCCTGAAGAGCATATGAAACTTCTGTCCAATATACGCAAGGTTTGAACAGCAAATTGATAATTCTCATGTGTTCGGGTTTTTGCAAAATTTTGACCATTTGTAAAACAGATTAAGGAGCGGAAAGAGAGGAATCGAGGTGCTAAGTCTGAAGAAACTAGGTCTCATGTTTCAAAGGCAACTACATCCAGGTATTAATTGTGTACTTGATTTATTCAAAATGAAAAGAACTGGGTTTCATTACATAACCCTCTGTGAGATTTTGATTATCTATCCTCTTACATAACCCTATGTGTTGTGTGGGACTTTGATTATCTATCCTTTATAATGTTTGCACAGACATGTTAAAGTGACTTGCCTGTTGTACCCAAAATTGAAATTCCTGTTTTGAACTTGGCATGCGACAGGACCGTATATAAGTTCTGTGGTGTTAGTGTTGTGACTTTTAATATGTTTTACACTTCAAAATCCTTAATCACATTTTTTATTAATATTGTGGTATATTGAATTTGAAAGCCGTATATTAAGCTGCAGAGAAACACTATCCTTTTCAGGCAAAGTAGATGGAACCATACAAATATTTTTTCGGATTTTGATGGTGAGACCGCCGGTAGTGATGCAGAGTACCTAAATGACAAGACAATTTCTAGAGGGGGAAAATCTCCCAGACATCTCAAATCAGCAGCATCTTCATTTAGGTAAGCTTTAGCTAGTCCTTGTGGATTTTTCTGCAACACTATGTTATTATTGTAATTTAAGTCGACTGTTTGTTTTTGGATTTGTGCCGGTTTTCTTATCTTTTTGGTATTGCATAAATTGGCAGTAGCCTTTGATGAATAGTCCGGTCTGTGATGAGTTCTCCAGAGACCACTGTAACATAAAAGTGTCCAGAGAATCATTTTCAGCTGATAATGTTGTTGCTTGTTTCATCTAGGTCCAATACGAGACTAAAAAAGAATTTTCCCGAGCATTTATCCGACGAATCAGATGATGAGCCACTTGATTTGCTTGATCGTCAGAAAACAAGGTCAGCTCTTAGATTGTGTGAGAATCTCAAAAGGAAGTCAAGGTTAGACGACGATGAGATGGAGGTAGATTCTGAAGGACGTTTGATTATCCATGAGGAAGGGGAACAGACAAAGGAAAAACCAGCTGATTCAGAATATGATGCTAGGAGTGAGCCTGATAGTCATTTGTCTGGGAGGTCTGGAACTAAAGCCCAGAAGCGGAGAAAAACAGCAGAGTCTGGTAGAGGTTACACTGGGAAAGAATATGGTAGTAAAAAAGCAGGTGGAGATATAAAGAGGAAGGATAAGCTTGAACCTTACGCATTTTGGCCACTTGATAGAAAAATGCTGAGCCGTAGGCCAGAGCATCGGGCTGCTGCAAAAAAAGGTATGGCTAGTGTGGTAAATATGACAAAAAGGCTTGAAGGTAAGAGTGTCTCTGGCGCACTATCTGTGAAGAGTATGAAACTAAAGAGAACTCAAAAGAAAGGAAGCAGAAGGTAGGCAGCGTAGATTGATAGCAATGGTTTTTGCTGTAATGATGAGAAACTAAAGAGAACTCAAAAGAAAGGAAGCAAACAAGCAGAAAAAAAGAAAATAAGGTAGGCAGAGTTGATTGATAGAAATGGTTTTTGTTGTAATTTATTTGAGGAGAAAGGAAAGCAGGTTTTTGAGTTGCATTTTTGTTATATGGATACGCACAAGGCTAGCCCTGTTACAAATTTAAGGTGAGTGATATCATTATTTTTCACTCGACTTCGTGAGAATAATATTATTTTTAAAATAAAACGAAATATTATTTAAATTGTACTGCCGTAAACTTTGTATTATCCTGTTTAGGTTTTTGTGAGTTAAATCATATTTATTTATTTAATAATATTTTTTGAATGTTTATGCAGATGTGAATTTGAAAATTTTATTACGAAACAATTAATTTTATTAGAGATGAAAAACACTAATCTCACGCTAACTGAATTTTATTTTATTAAAAGGTTGCATATTCTTTTAAAGTTTTATATAAATCGTGCATAAAAGTTTTCAAGAAATGATTTTATCAAGCAACAAAAATGAATTGTTGCAAAATTGTTACTAGTGAAAAAGAGAACTTTGTACCTTTTGACTCAAGATTTTTGAAGTTAAAAATGGTGTAGAAAATTTCTTTTTATAAGATGAAATTTTCTTTACAATTAACATATAATTAAATTATTGAATTTACAAGAATTAAAGAGATAAAGGTTAAAAAACGTTACTACTATTTTAATAATAATTCCTTCATATCATATGTAGTGATGAAATAATACACTATAGTTTCATTATTGTTTTTTGGCAGGAAAAAAAGAGTTAAAAATGATAAGAATCGATATACCAACTAGGTTCATATCTCTAACTAAGGAAATAACCTTACAACCCCTAACATTAATAAATCGGAAACTAAACAAAAAATCTAAGACAACAAAAAATCTAAGACAGAACAATCTCGATAAAAAATCTTACTCGTTAAATCTATGAGAAAATGGTTGATGCACTGAAGTATAATATAATTTTACATTATCAATCAATCACAACTATATATTTAATTAAGTCATCTTTTTATTTTAATTTTTTTAATGATATGGTAAAATGTTTATTTTCTATTGTATGACAATGTAAAATTATTTCATATTGTCAGTGCACTACAGATTTTCCATTTAATGTCTAGCTATATATTTGTGAGGACCCATAAATGGGGTGATATATGTCTTTCACTAGATAATTTTCCCTATGACGCGTTATTTAAAACATAACCCCCATGTGGAGGAGCTCACCCTAATGGAAAACACGAACATTAACATTTACTTAGTTTATAATTGCACATGCAAAGTAATACCCACGATTCCTTACGAAATAGTCAGTCAACAATTTCCTTGGTCAAGGGGAAGCGTTACAACTTTGTAGGAGGCCTCAAACTTAAGTCCACGAGCTTTTATAAATATCTCACCCCTAGTATGAGAAAGGGCAACTGATAACAACTCGGAACATACACGAAATACCGCATAAACACAAAGATTCTCACTTTACGTGAACTTGCTCTCTCCATAACCAAAAACACCAATGAACAAAAACACCATTGAACAGGATTTCTCACCACTGTGAGCAAGTCATATACCACATAAAATACCTAAAGTCTCTAACCACCCCTATCAACATAGGGGTGTCACATATTTTTTTCTTTTTGAAAAGTACAGTGGTGTCCACTATAGCCCCCGGTAAAACTAACATGGACTACACCTTTCTTTATCATCACCACTCATACGCTTACTCAAGCCTCAACCTCTAGCCTCAATCGTCTTCAATCATGGTTTTCGGGATGACATAATCCCTCACACCAAAGGATACAGAATGTGGTAGTGATCCCAACGTGGTAACATAAATATGCGCCGTGTGGACGAATTGCGCTTCCATAATCAAACTCAGGAGGATAATGTCCACAACATACCTAACCACTTTTGCACGAAATATGCTAAATAGTTATTCCTGAAGGCTTCAAGCATCCTTCCGTGGCGAAGTTTGATGGTCTCAACAACTCCTATGAGCATGTCGCCTTCATCAATACGCAGATGTCCATCATTGGAGTGTCCAACTCTCTGAAATGCAAGCTATTGTCTGACACATTTAGAGATACAACCTTGCAATGATACATGGGCCTACCCTGAGCTTCCAACAACAACTACCAGGAGTTAATGAAAAATCTTGTACACTAGTTCAGAGTCGATCGAAGCCAAAATATGTCCACCACTATCATGTTTAACATTTGCGAGGGCTCCTTAAAGTCAGAGGGGATACCTCGTACGTTTTAATGAAGCCACGATAAGGTTTGTCTACCTGAACCAAGAAATATTTGGGGGAACGTCTTTGTTAGCAAAGGTGGTCATAAGGGAAAATGCTACATAAATGGTGCATAGAGTGACTCTGAGAAGAAGACCTAAGACGTAAATTAGCACGTTCCTAGAGCCAGAGGTTCATAACACTCTTAGAAGAACAACTACACCTAGCCCATCATAGATAAATCTATGTTCAAGCGAGGCGAAAAGGACGTGGAGAGCTTTACGCCCCTGAACACTTGTTGTTAACAGATATGTCGGGAGGTTATCCATTTGCATGATATCCCTGTGCCTTCAACCCCTAAGATAGATATTATGCAACCTGAACTTGACATATGGTGTAAGTTTCATAAATTTAAAGGACACCACACAAAAGACTATTACCAACTCAAGAAGGAGATTGAGTGCCTGGTCCAAGAGTGACACCTTAAAAAGTATGTCAAAGGAGATTCCCCTCAAGGGCCGGGCATGTTCAACTCCCGCAGACAGGATAATACAGGAAGCCCCAGCCCTAAAAAGGGAAAGGATTCGTCTAAAGAAAAGGGCGGTAAGGACATATGTCATATGCTCAGTACTATTGCAAGAGGAGTTGTCCATGAGAGAGAGAGAGAGAGAGAGAGAGAGAGAGAGAGAGAGAGAGAGAGAGAGAGAGAGAGAGAGAGAGAGAGAGAGAGAGAGAGAGAGAGAGAGAGAGAGAGAGAGAGAGAGAGAGAGAGAGAGAGAGAGAGAGAGAGAGAGAGAGAGAGAGAGAGACTGGTATGTTCAGAAAAGATATGCCCATTAGGTACTAAATATATATGATCTCCCCACGAAATTGAAGGAAGGTGAGACCAAGATGCCAAAGGTCCCTTTTTAAAAAAAAGGATGCAGTGGAGGAAACGGTTATTAACGCGCAAGCTAGTAAGAACGTGGAGGATGTTCAAAGCAGTTTAGGGCAGTTTCTCCACAAAGTCCCAACATGGGCTAGTAACCATCGACGGTTACATACTTAGAATTTCTATTTAAGAAAATGTTTGTATTTGTATCGAAGGTCGCATTTCTTTACATTTATACCATTACACTCAAAGTATCCGCATCTAAGAGAAAAAACGAGTTTCATGCTTAACAATGTATGAATGCTTCCACATTTAAATTCATAGCAATTTCTAGTTTTCACTTTAAATTGTAAGTCTTGTCTTTAATTTCTTTACTTTGAAATTGTCTTTCACTTTTGCCCTTTTATCCAATATCAACCAGTTTCAATTCAAAAACACTTAAAACACTAAGTCTAGGATTATTGTAGCCGATCCTACAAGTAACCTTTAATAAGAGGCTAATGATTGTTTCGCAGAGAAATAAATTGGCACACTCGATGGGACACATTTGTGTTTGAGTCTTCTTGTTTCGTGCATGAAATTAAGAAGTGGTAAAAAATGGTAGATCCTAGAACACCTGAAAGGGATAAAAATTTAGGAGGAAATACCAGCGCAACAGCGAGTGTGGGTTCTAGTCTGGTGATCGCGTCTTCAAAGGCACCAAACATTGTCACCACAACACATCTAGTAACTGCAAGACCACCAATGGTCACAACTTCTGGGCAGTATGTGCCTAGTTTTTCAAGAGAGAGACACGATGGTGTAATCCCAACTTCTGGGCAGTATGCAGAAGCATTCATGCGTCGGGGATATTGGGAAATCAATTTGGTCGTTCAATTGGATTGAGATTTTCCCAAAAAATTATGCCTACTTTTACCCCAAGTATTGTTTCTATCATGAGGCAACAAATGGATGAAAGTAACCATGAGATGGCCAATATACTTACTCAACAAATGAGTCTCATATTAAGACCTTTGATCAAAAATTCAGTGCAAAGTTATCAGACTTTAGCAACTCAAATGACTCGTATAAGGGATTTCCTTGGTGCCCCAAGAGTGCTAGTTCGACAAGTTGTGCCTCCCCATTGCAAGGAACCGGTGCAGTACGAGGAGGTAGTCGACGAAGTAGTCGAACAAGAACCACCGACTCCCAAGTGTGTCGACCCTATACTTAGGATAGTACAACAACCCCCAGTAGTAACAGCAAACCGAAACTAGAATGCCGACCAAATGGTCAGGCATGTTCGACGAGAAGCAGTGGCTGGGGAACAAAACCTATAAGCCATTGTTGAAAGAATTATGGTTAGGAATGGAATGAATATTGACTATTAGAGAACTACGTATGTCTTGCCATTGCCAGATTTTGTTTTACAAACAGAGTTATCAAGAGGTTAGAAACTCCCAAAATTCACCAAGTTCACAGGGGATGTTGAAGAATCCATTGTCGAACACGTTGCCAGGTATCAAATAGAACTTGGCTACCTATTAGTGAATGTGGATTTGAGGATGAAGTATTTTCCCAATTACCTCACAAAGAATGCGTTCACTAGGTTTACAACGCTTCCCCCACAGTTGGTCTAAACGTGGATTCAGTTAGAGAAATTATTCCATGAGCAATTCCACATGGGGCAGTCCAAAATAAGCCTACATAATTGTCTAGTGTTAAATGAAAAATCACCGAGTCAATAGACCAATACCTGAACAGGTTTAAACTTCTGAAAGTGCGGTGCTTTACACAAGTCTATGAACACGAGTTGGTCGAAATGACTGCAAATGGGTTAGAGTATTCT